CATAATGTGTGAGTTCTCCCAGCAGGTGGTTGTGAAGGTGTGAAGGTGTGGACTCTGCTATGAATCAGGGTGAGGACCCAGAGGACGGAGCCCGTCCCTCTGAAGCTCCTCTGTGTGGGGAACATGACAGCAGGACCAAAGCTCAGAGGTGAGAGGACCATCTCCAACTGTCCTCCACTCGTCTCCATGTCCCAACGTCTTTGACTCAGTGACTCTGCTTCTACATGTGTGACCAGGACCCATCAGAGACCAGGACCTGAACCTGCACCCAGCTGTGTGTCCATGAAGAGTAACCAGTCTATGGAGCCTCCTCTAGTCTTCAAAGATGGTCCCTCTGTTGATGCAAGGTGAGGGTCTCAGGCTGATGATGAGGTGTTTCTACCAGACTCTCTGGTGGAGGTTCTGGGTTTCTTGCTCCAGGGCCCTTCAGCAGTGTCCTGTGAGGGAGGGAGAGCTCCATGGAGAACTTGGTGAGACCTGTTGGGACTAAACCAAACAGTGAGCTGAAAGACTGAGCTGTTGATTCTCAGTGGGACCAGCAGGGACCAGTAGACCTAAACCACTACAGGGACTCATGTGGTCCACATCCAGACCTCACAACATGGACCTTTACCTTGTTTTGGTCTCTGAGGACGGACACCATGTGAGCTGATGCTTCATGATTAGATGATGATGTGATGATGTAATCTCAGTGTTTCTTTCAGGTCACATCAGCAGAGAGGAAAGTCTCCTGAACCCAGATGTTTGTCCATGAAGAGTGATCAGTCTATTGATCGATATATTGACTTCAAAGATGATCAGTCTAATGGTTGTCTGCTTAACTTCAAAGATGGACACCGTTCTTATGACCCAGAGTAAGTTCTTAAACAGATGAACTGATTTAATCCTCAGTCATGAATCACAGAAATGGTCGTTCATTGTGTAAAGTGTTGTTTCCATGACGATCCATCATGACAGAACTCATTATCTTCATCTAACTGATCTGTAAGTGTTAAAGTGTGAATCATTATCTGTAAACATCCTCAGATGTAAACACAATGTGAGCTAGTTCCTCCACATTAGGATCAGCAGAGGTCACATCTGGAGACAGATGACTGGGACTGAACATGTGATTAGAATGAACTCGGTGCTCTGTCGACCAGCTGACGTGCTCTCTGGACTCCATGCAGAGGTTTGGACAAAGTATCGTCAGTAGACTCTGTGAAAAGGTCCAAAGACTAGTTTCAGAAGGTCTAAGGAGACTTCTAGAGGTCAGAGGACGGACTGAAGAGGTTTGGAGTAGTTCCATAAGACTTTGTACCAGATGCAGAGGTCTGCAGATGTTGTTCTTAGAACAACTAAAAACAAATCAAACTGATGACAAACTGTCGCTCAACTAATAAACTGTCCGTCATCATCGACAGTCTTCAGCATCTGGTTTCCATGGTGATCCATCATGACAGAAGCCAATATCTTTAACTAATGTTGTATTGGTGTTGATGGTCCAAACATCATGTGAGCTGATGGTTCATGTTCCTCCACAGAGAGGACCAGGAGAGCTCAGAGGTTCCCACAGGTCCGTCTGCCCAGCAGCATCAAACACACCTGGACTCCATCTTCATGGTGTGTACATGAACAACTACTTTTACATCTCAGTTCACCATCATCTCCGTGCTGCACTTTGTAGACCAGTGGATTGTCCGTCTGTCCAACATGTACCTGATGGTGGCTTCCATGTTCTAGTTGTCATTCATAGAATGGTCTGGTGCAGCTGCAGGAGGAGAACATCCTCACTTTTGTGAAGAACGAGCTGAAGAAGATCCAAAAGGTTATGAGTTCAGATTACCCAGTATGCTTAGAGAAAGAGGATGAGGAGGTGCTGGATGAAGAGCAGAGGACGAGCAGAGAGGCCGCTGTGAAGATCTCAGTGCACTTCCTGAGGAGATGAAGCAGGGGAGCTGGCTGAGCGTCTGCAGAGCAGTAAGAGGATTTCTCTACAGACTTCCATGCTGATAAATGA